GGAAGTATAAAACTTGTCGTTAATATACATTAAAAATACATTTACTTACAGTAAATATGCCCCTGGGTGCATTTTTTTGGTCCTAGGACTGTTTTTTTAAGAAGTACATAACCAAAGTTGAGTAAAAAAAATTAAAAAAGTGAATTTTGCATAATAGGTCCCTTTTAACAGAATAAATGATTGTCATCAACTAGATGTAGATATAAAGTTAAATCATTCAGGCTTCATTCACACTGCCTACATACATCAGACAAGACATGAAGGGTACACAATGGTTTTTAGCATGAAAACTGATGGTTCTTTATGGTCTTGGAGGCATGATGATACCTTCCTGGCTGCAAAGCACCACAAAGTCTTATGTTGCAGGAAAATACTTTTGTAATGGTTGCATTATTTATTTGAATTTTCTTATTTTAAGTAACCTTTGAACACTTGAAAAACACTTCCCACTCATAGTTTTCATATATTGTGTAGGACAGAACATAATGAGGTCATGATTCTATATGAAGGGGGCATTTTTACATTGTTTTTGTTTTGTAATACGAGTAGAAATATTAATTTATTCTCAGCCCATTTACTGTTAAGAATGTATTCTATTTCCCTTCATCATTATTAAATCACTGAATTTGTTTGGAACGTCCAATTAAAACATAATTAACAAGTTAMAACTAAACTAAGTTTATGTTTCTGATAAAAGTTAATGTTAACAATAATCCCTCGATGTGTTCAAACTTTATCTCTTTATAAAACAATAAATATTTACCAACTTTTATTTAGAAAAGAAAAAAACTGAATTATGCTGAATTTTAATTGCTCAAATGGACTTTTTTTGGTAATTCTTATATATAAACAAGAAATTGATATTTTCATAACGTGAACAGACAAGATTATTCCTACCCCCCTGTTCTCTCTGGCACCCCCACTACCCCTGTTGGGAACTACTGATCTAAAATATTAAGTAAAGAATAGTTTCCTGCAGTACCTGGTTACAAAACAAAACACAAAAATTAAAGCTTAGCCCACTGTCTGCTCATACATCATTTTTTTATGTAAACACAAAAAGTCTCACATTGTAGGTGTCTTTTTTTGTTTGAGTATTGATATTTAGCTGTGTTTATATGCATGCACGTGTGCGTAAAGAAACATGCCCATGAAGTTCTGACCAATCACACAGTTCAAACCGCATTGGTCRGTAAGACTGACTTCTGACTGGGTGTCAGTGAACAGATGAARGTTACGCAATTGTCMACACTCAAGACTGCAAGCYAGACGTGAGAATGGAAGTTTAAGTCAGCCTGAAGAAGGCGACAGATCAGATTGCTGAGCTGGAATGTATGGGACTGTGAGACTGTCAGGCTTTCAGGAGGAAGCTCCTCTTTTGTCCACTCCTGTTCGTTTAATGTGACGCAACAGGCTTTGTTAAATGAAGCTACATTTTTTTCTTAAGCTAAAGTCAAGACTAAATAATAAACTAAGCTCAAGACTGAAAGGGTCTTGCTAAAATGTTGTACGTTTTGGTGTTATTTATTTAGCTCTTTGACACATTTATTTCTTCTTTTGCACCAGCGTACAGCTGTAAATGCACCACTTTGTTTTCATCAGTGAGGTATATTTTTTCAATCAAAAGTGACACACACTTTCAAACTGTACAGCCGGTTCACATAAATGAGAAGAAAGTGGCTCGGAGTGAAAATGGGCAGGTTTTGCCTTTTGCAAACAAGGATTCTGTCTTTACTGGTTAGGTCAGTGTTGACATAGACACAGCAGTGCCGAGTGACTCTGAGACAGAAAGACGGCTGTGTTTGACACTAATGATTAATTGTAGGACATTGCCTGAAAAGGGCTCTAAACGTGTGGTGYAACAAGCTGGTGAATGAGCAGTCAGGTCATAGGGATAGTGTGAAAAAGAGCACACGTCAGACCGCAGAGCAGCCGTCCCTTCCAAAAATTCAAAGAGGGTGGAAATGATTAAGTTTCATACTAATGGCCTCACATTTACTGTCTGCTTTGATTGTTCATAAAGCCASTTTGTGTACAGAGTTTTTAGGCTCTGTCCAAAAACTGTTTAATTAAATGGCTGCACAGACCAGCCCGTCTTTATGCTGCCTCTTGCCGTTCATAAGTCACAGATGGAGCCGACCATGTCCCCCACATACGTGAGCTTTCAGAAATGAAACGAGCGTTGTAGAAACATAAAAAAATGTGGAGCAGAACTCAGCTGRGTTGACAAAGAGTTCAARGCATTAATGCGATGAATGTTTCTATTGTAATGCCTTCAAAACCAAAGTAACTCACTTTAGCAGTGATCTTTGTCTTTAACATGCTTTTTAAACTAAATGTGAAGTTTCTGTGCCTCACCTGTCATTCCCTGAGTAATAAATCTGTTGTTTAATCTGGTGACCATGTAGTTGCACACACCATATGTCCTCACTTGATCACTATATTGAGCCTCGAAGTAGGGGTTGACCGATACATCGGCCGGCCGATATTTGCGTTTTTTCCTTGTATCGGTATCGCCCGATACACTGTCCGTTTGGCCGATCTGTTCTTTGGGTCATGCGAGTGCATGTGTCCCCCCCTTCCCCCGGGGAGAGCGCAGCAGCTAATGTTGTGAGACAGAGTGCAACAACAACAAGGGTGAGTTATGAACTATAAATGTGTTTTAACTGTCTAATTTAGCTGTTTCTACCCTCTGTGTCAGACTATGAGGGAAGAGAGAACAGCTGTGTTTAAGTTTCTTTTCCAGACGGGAGCGCTGCGACATGTTTTACTTTCACTTTCGCACCGCACTGTAATCAGCGTGTCTGCGTTGTTTTTCTTTTTTAAAATGCTGGAGCTGCTCACATGAGGCATAGAAAAACACCTCTATTGTTCTCCCTGCTGGATTAAAATAAAAAAGCTTTCTGTCTTTTCTCGCTGAACGTTTTAGCGAGCGCAGCCGTCCACCATCATGTGAACCAGACACTGCTCACATGTGAACCAGACGCTGCTCACATCACGTTTGCTGTGACCGCAGTCGTGATGCTGGTTCTCTTCGGTGTCCATTTCAAACTGCGATCTAAAGTTAACGTCAGCTGGTTTAAATGCATTTTTTGCCTGGTGTTAAAAACGGGAGCAGCAGACTGAGGCAGAGATGCTGTGAGCGCTGTGTGTGAAGTCCTCACAAAGATAGTAAAGATGTATGTGTCTCTTCTTTTTCTCTGTGTTGCTCTGACAGTTTTATTTATGCTTGTTGCTGTTTTTGTATCAAAAATGCTGTTAAAAAATAGTAATTTTATGTAAAAAAAAATATATTATTCTTATTAATATAAAAATAAGAACAGAATATTTAGCACTAGATAAGATAGTAAAGATGTATGTGTCTCTTCTTTTTCTCTGTGTTGCTCTGACAGTTTTATTTATGCTTGTTGCTGTTTTTGTATCAAAAATGCTGTTNAATATATTATTCTTATTAATATAAAAATAAGAACAGAATATTTAGCACTAGATAAAATAAATAATGAATGTGTTTATTTTTAATTTTTAAAGAAAAAATCCTATGTGGTAGCACTTAATACAGCCTGCATCAGACAAGGCTTAGTTAATAAATGGGTATTTTTTGTTTTTGTTTTAAATTAAGACTTGTGTAACATTTGTTATCATTGTTGTTTTAATCATGTTAATGGAGGAAGAAAAAGGCAGTATCGGCTTCAAGAATCAGCCAAATAATATCGGCTGCACGTATCGGCGTATCGGTTAGACTGATGTTTAAAAAATCTGTATCGTTATCGGCCTTCAAAAACCTGTATCGGTKGATRTCTACCTCYAAGGCTGCCTGCTTTTTCACGTCAACTGTTTCAGCTCTGTTACTACCTCGCTTTGAGGCAGAAATTATTTGTGTTGGCCCAAGTCCCAACTTGGTGTATTTTGTAAAAGAGCATTTTCTATAAAGAAAAATATCTGCAGTTTAGGGTAAACAGGGCCATACAGGTCAATGTAATTAAACATTGGACATTAACAAAACATTAAATACCATTAGTAACCTATGTAAAGTTTTATTCAAAAATTTATGCAATTTTTCTCCTTTGTGTTTATGGTAATAAATATAAATTTATTAATAGAAAGATGTGACTTAGCCAAGCAAAAATAACAGAAATACAGAAATACAAAGAAAAATTTAGTTTATAGACAAACTGGGCTCTAAAGGTCACACTGAAATGTTACATCTGTGTTTGTATTTAGTAAACTACAGTAAGCTATATTTATTGCTTTGGTTTTTAATGCTGGAAGGTTTTCTTAATACTAGTGGACATAAGTTTTATTCACAATTTTTAGCATTTATGCTAAAATCAGCTAGATGGCTTCTGGTTAACAGTTTTATTTTTAATTTTCCAAACAAAGCCAACAATGTTAGCTTAGTTTATGTTAGTTTATTTATCTTTGGCTAATTCACATAAAACGTTATCTTAGGAGAAATGAAAGAAGAAAAAACAGGTCTGTATAATGAGTTTATTTTAGTTATATTATCAGGCTTGCGGTAGCTCAGTGGTCTGTAAGGTGGTCTTGTAACCTTGAGCCCAGGTTGTGTCAAACAACTCCAGCGTAAAACAAATGGCAAATCTTGTATGCGAGTTTTCCGGCTGTGGTGACCCTTAAAGAAGGGAACATTCAAATTCAGTTACATTTATTTATTCCTGATATAAGACCATACAGTCACCTATGGGACACTTTCAAATACCATTAATCAATGAAAAACATACAAAAATAGGATACTTTTAAATGGTACATTATTTATACATTATTTTCAATTTGTTCCTTTAACTCAAAAGGACCAAAACCTGTTGGTATTAAACTCGTAATACCAAGTTGAGACGGGTGCATGTTGAATCTGTGGRGTTGTCACTAAAACATCTTTAAAAAAAAGTTGCAGATGATGATTTTCACACATTCTCAAGGTCATCTTAGTGTTTCTACGAAATGTCTTTAATGGCAAATCACACAGCTTGTTTCYCTTTGAAGTCTTGATCTGTTCTTAGAAATATCTCTCTGCAAGTCTGTTAGCACGCACTTGTGTTCTCTTGCGTGCAAATCGCTCATTTCTGCAGCACAGCAGCTGTATGTCATGACGAGAAGCACGTTGCATGGCACCCACGGCAGCCCGTTGGGTTGCGGCCGTGCTGACCCGTGACCATTCCAGCGCCCTGGTTTGTGGCAGCTGTGGGAATCAGCGAGTTGGTGAGTGAGAGTGAACGGGTGTGAACCTGAGAGTGAGGACAATGTGCCGGCTCTCTCTGAACTTCTATCTGGCTCTCCGGGGATGAGTTCGAAGCTACACACAATCCCCCCGAGAAAGACTATACAGCCTCACTAATGCGGACAGACCTGGAACCCGGCAGTTCAGCTTCATGGCAATCCTCGCACAGTCCATGTTTCAAACTATTTGCATCTGCAGCCTGACAGCTAATTTCTCATGCTGGTCTATATGGAGCCGCGAGCACATAAATCTTAATTGGTGCACTTGTTCTTTTCGAGCATCTGATCGGTTCACCTTCTTTTTCCACGCTTTCTAAACCCTGCTCCTGTGTTTTCTGCTCTCTGTCTTACATGTTTCACGACTTGACTTTTTCCACCAATCGTTTTTTTGCAACTAGGTCAGGAGCTCATTGTCTATTTCATGTTGACGGCCCCTTGTCCTGTTGCAGGCAGTGAACAAGTCCCCCAGGACTAGTATTTAGGTCAGGTYCTCAACAGCAGAAAGAATTATCACCTGTACTTGGCAGCAAACAAAGGATAAGCTAAATCAGGCAGAGTCAGTGTCAGAGCCCTGCAGGACAACTAACGTGTTTGTGATTTAAAGACTTTAAGAAGTTTATGATGCATTCTTACTTTTTAATAAAAGAAATGTCTTATTCTTTGAATTAGCATCGTGTGGCTGTAGGAAGAATGTGAAAACTTTGTTTTAATTTTCTGAGAAATCACAAGTGGTTTAGCAATCTAGTTTCTTGTCAAACATCTCTTCTGAAAGGCTCACATATCCAACATGTCATTTTGCTTATTTTTCTAATCCAGTGAGGTGTGGCGTTCTATGTGAGTCTGTCCAGCTAGAAACCCTGCTGTCTTTTGTCTCTTATAGGAGATGTGTACATACAGCCAACGCAGGACACAAAAAATCCTGTGATTTACGGCGTCTTCACAGTCTCTGGGTGAGTTTGTCCACAGCAAATACCAAATACGTCATTTCTGTGATGGCGAGGAGAAACTAACCAGTTTTTTTTTTTTTTACATCCACCCCACAGCTCTGTGTTTAAAGGCTCAGCAGTATGTGTGTACTCTATGGCTGATATCCGCATGGTATTCAATGGACCATTTGCCCACAAAGAGGGCCCCAATTACCAGTGGGTGGCCTACACTGGGAAGATGCCCTACCCTCGACCCGGCACGGTGAGCATCAGCCGACTTTGATTCTTCGTGTGGATCCCACAGATCACCAACACAACACTCTCCTTTCTTTGAACCTCAAGCCGAACCCACCTGAACAAGATCCAAAATTTAATGTGATTGTGGGTTTTGGTGCTCGTGCTCAGAATGTTAATGTCCCCACACCCCCTTTTCCAGTGCCCCGGAGGTACGTTCACCCCCAGCATGAAGTCCACAAAGGACTACCCAGATGAAGTGATTAACTTCATGAGGAATCACCCTGCCATGCACAACGCAGTCTACCCAGTGCACAAGCGCCCCCTAGTGGTTCGGACCAATGTGGACTATGAGTTCACCACCATTTCAGTGGACCAAGTGACGGCTGCGGACGGCAACTATGAAGTGCTTTTCTTAGGCACAGGTGAGTGTTTTATTAAATATTGAACGTGAATTAAAAACAGAGCTCTCGTTGTTTTTATTGCTTAGAAATGATCACGTTTAGGGTTATTTGTACTGTTGGAGGTGTTTGAACTGATGAAGCCTTTGATCCGAGTCTACATGCTGAGTGACACTGTCAGTGAGGCGCTGAAGAATGGAGAACAGGATCTCCCTGTGGAAATAAATCCCATATAAGTGGGGGAACGTGTCTCCTCTGCATCCATTTATCATTAGGAGAAAAACATTCTTTCCTTTTGTGCTGGAGTAGATTTTTAACCTATCAAAGAGTTTGTACCTCACTCTGCACCCATGGTGTAAACAACAGATTTGTACCTGGAGGGCAGCGGGGGGTGGGGGTGAGAACAAAAGCAGTGACGCAGGAAGGAGGGTTAGGGTTGGCGTATTTATCCCTTTTAATCTTACAGAACCGATAAAAGAGCAATTATCTGATCGCCTGCATGTCTTGAASTTTTTAATGAGGCCGCTGCGTGACAGCAGGCGCCGCAGAGTTTGCTGCTCTTACCCGACGTTGCAAGTCACACCTCTTACCTCGACCCTTTTTTTTGTCTTTCCGAACCTTACGGGGAGGAGACTAATGGGCCTGTGTGTGCGATGGCAGCTGCTGTGGAGGAATGCGTGTCCTTTCAGCTGCTGTCAGAGAGTCGGAGCTATTCAGCCCCGCACAGGGGTTCAATTCAGAACGCTTAATAAATCTCAGGTATCCCACTTGCAGGAATGCTTTACAGAAATCAAATGGCGCAGGGAGAGGCCAGGGAATGTCTTATTGCATCCAAACAAATAGAACGACAGAAAAAAGTTTTTACCTCAAAAAAATCCAAGGTCATTAGGTGACGTACGGTGTTGCCTGTTGACATTAGGATTATCCTTGTTGGAGACTGCTGAGAGTCTAACAAGAATCCAAGAGGCTGCTGACAGTCAGAGGGAGGGTCAAGTCACAGGTGTGTAAATGATGCTTGTTGTGATCCACAGACAAGGGAACGGTTCAGAAAATCATCGTTCTGCCCAGAGATGACTTGCAGACTGAGGAGCTGGTCCTGGAGGAGGTTGAGGTTTTCAAGGTTGGCTCAACTTTCTCTTCTTTATAATATTTTATTTTCTCCTTTTGCTTGCGCGTCTAATATTTTTTTACTACCCATAAAACTAACTAACTGTCCTCACAATCTTTATGTTTTTCCATCAAGGTCCCCACTCCTATAACAACAATGAAGGTCTCGTCCAAAAGGGTAAGAGTGTCCGCACAAGAGATTATTTTTTTTCYAAATTTCCTGCAAGAAAGGAACCTCGGTCCGTTTTGAAAAGGATATGAGCCACATGTGCGCAGCTGTATAGCTCTCCTGCTTCCTTCCTCATAATTCATATCAAAGCTGTGAGACTAAGACGATGAAAAGGGGGGAAAATGGAAAAGACATCAAAAGTTCAGTGTCTTCTTTCAAAGTGATTAAAATGCTTGGCCTCCTCTGTATGTCATGACATCAGACAGAGAGCTACGATTACACGCAGCCTGTCAGGCTGATGAATTTTTAACAGCTGATGATGATACAATGCCAATCATAACTCAGATGATTCTGAGCATGGCTGAATATTCTCAACATTCAATCTGTTTATGGAAGTAATTACTTCTAGAAGCTACTGATGTTAAACAATGTTAAACAGTGCTTGAAGTCCCCCCACCCACCACTGTAGGTGACATACAGGAATACCAGCAATTAGCAAACTACAAACCAAACTACTTCTATAACAGGGGTGGGCAATCCTGGTCCTCGAGGGCCACAGCCCTGCATGTTTTATTTTTTTCTCTGCTCAAACACACCTGATTTGAATGAATGGGTGATTATCAGGCTTCTGCAGTACGGAGGACCCAAACTAACAATTAAAAATACAAGCGGAAATATATAAATTG